AGGACATGATGATATCCTGATGAAGTTTGAAATGCAGTGACAATTATCAAAAAGTGACATTAAGACAAGAAGTGAGCACATGTTTTTAAAAAATGGCCCCAGCAGATTCATTCTATACAGGGTTGTCACAAACTTTCAATTCATAAGAAACATTCAACAGAAAAAAAATGTATGCATATTTGGTCAGTGGCAAAGGAAAGACTGGATAGGTGAGCCTCTGACTCTTGCCTGTGCTTCTTTCACTCTTGTGTTACTTTCACCCCTAGCAGAACATTCACTATCATAATATTCTTGTTGTTATGAACCATCGAGTTGGAACTGACATATAGCTAGCAGACCCTCCAGTGGATTTTCAGAGGCAATTAATTGCACAGGAGGAAATTAAATTGCCTGTCTTTCTCCTTTGGGTTGGCAGCACAACTCCTTACTACTAAGCCACCAAAGCTCATCATCATAATAGTCACTATTATAAAGGAAAGAGCTTCAGTGTTAGAGGGAAGATACATTTTAAAAGAAATATGAAGGAAGTAGTATTTTAATTTTTCAAGTTTCTAAAAGAATATTTACTTTCTGCATAATAAAAGTTTGAATGAATGAGAATGAAATGAAAAATATATCAGAAGTCATTTGCTTTTACTGTACTGGAGGGTGGGGGTAATGAGGAAATTGTACAACAATAAAAGAAACTTTTTAAAGGCAAAAGCAAAGTAGGGGGGTGTTAGGGAGGAAAATGGTCAACAACGAGTGAATGGAAATCCAAGCTTTCTGTAAACTTGCATTAAATAGCAACAAAAAAATTAAAAAAAAAAGTCATTTGCTTTCAAATCATGAAGAGGATTCCTTGAATCTTTCACTTTTATATAATATTGAAGTTCATGGGTACAGAATTTCAGGCCCATGACAAACTGAACTTGATCCTGATAAGTAAAAGATGTCTCCAGAATACAAGAAATGTAGGTGAATTTTAGGAAAATTGGAAAAAAATCATGTAGAGACTTGGTACTGCTGGATTTTTCTTAATTTATTTTGAATACTATAAAAACAAAGACTTTTAACTAAATTCATTGTGTATAAATCTATTCTATGCAAGCTTTTTCAGCATTTAATAATATTCTAACAGATTTTGATAGCCGAGAATACTTGATGTACATATATGAGTATATATCTATCATAAAACATTTAAAAGTATTATTACTGAAAGACTCAAAATTCCCATTATGCTTATATTGCTTTAAGGCAACTGCCCTATTTAGGGCAAGAGTTCCAATTGGCTGAGCTGTTTTGGACAAAAGAGCAGTTTGGTGTTGAAGATTATTGCTGAGTCATTGTTATTTTTATGGCTATAGTGTAAGAAAGTACTAGGGTAATAAATTCCTCAGCCGATTTCTCAGTAAGAAGACACAGGATGATTCTTCAGTTTAAGCATTATTTCCTTTGATAAGATATTTTTCCATTGCATTGATTATACAAGTATAATAGCTTTTAAATTTAGTAGTGACTGTAAAGTATGGATATGCCTATGTCACTTTTTTATATGATTCCCAAGTGTTTAACTTCAATCAATGTACAGGTTTGATCTGAAATGGTAAATTTGCATCCTCCTTTCTTCATAGATCAGTATTGTAGAGTTGAGAAATTTATAATTTCTATTCACCGGGATCTACTATTTTGTTAGAATGCTCACATAATGTCTGTTAAATATTTTATTGTAAATGAAAAAGGAATCTACTCTTTGTACCATCAAGGTCATTACCGAACTCAGTGCTTCAGTTTAAAAGCACAGAGATGCCATCTAGCAGCCACCTTTAGGAACTTCCTACACAGAAAAAGTAGTTCCCTATGAAACTGAGAAATAATTGAATTGCCACAAGCTTTCAGTCTCTTCTTTTTAATTTACTTATTAAATGACAATTTGGTATAATTCAGACTCTATTACAAATGAAGATAATTGATATCCCTTAACAGAGTCAAAGTGATACAATGACGAATTGTTTTATTTTTTTCCCCTGAAAAATAACTGAGAACTTTTTCATTAGACTCTAATTAAGAAAACATGATTCTAGTAATTTTCCTGAGAGGAATATTGATAATCTGTCTATACAAAACAACAGATAACTAGTTAGTGGTGAATTGCCTTTTTTTAGTGGAAGAAAAGAAAGTGGGTACATGTTGAAAGTAAGTTCATTCTATAAATATGGAAACTTGAGCATTTCTCTTCTACTATAAAAGTAGAAGTGATTGTCAAGTAACTTACTATACTATGATATGATGATACTTAAGCAATTTGTAAAACAATTTACAAATTTTGTAAGTTTTAACTACACAAAATATAAAGCATAAATATAAATGCTTCAGGATCTTCCATGAAATAGCATTGACATTTTGCAAAAATCTCTTTTTTGTTCAAGTAAATTAACACTTGGGAAACTCATATAAGATTTTAGTTTCCAACATTAAAAAAAAAATCTATTCCATTTTAAGAGCTCTGATATTTTTCCATGTCATGTGTATATATGTATGATTATACATGTGCTTGCTATAAAAATGACATTTGGTAATATAGAAGACTACTTCGGGATAAGAAAAAAAGGGCTTGAATGTGATGGTGAAATACAACTGTCCTGTAATGTTAATAACAACATCATGCTAGTTTGTAAACATTAAGTTATTTAGAATTTCTGCATTAAGTGTAATATCCTCATTTAAATTCCTTATTTTTTCCCTAAACTGGCTTTTATGCTACTTTCTTACTAGGTATTCACTGCCTAAATATAGAAGTAATAAGTAACAAAATTTAAGAAAAGTAATACTGTTTTTTAACTAATTGGCAATGCTGCTTTTTATAATTTGAGAAAGGCAGTAGGTAAGGGTGGACAGGAATATCATTTAGTACTCAGCAATAGTTCTATAAAACATATAATGATAGCTTCCAGTAATTTTTTCTTTCTAATTATATTTTGTATAAAAGTTAAAAAAAATCATTCATAGTATTAAAATAACTTGCTATGAAACTCTTATAATTCTCTATAATATCATCTGTGGTGTAGAATAAATTATCATAGTCTTTTCTTTGCTCGTTGTACTGCAGGGTCCAGAAGATGTGGAGGATAGTTTGAAAAGTTAATGCTTGCTGGTCCTTGCCTGGATTTTTCAGTCAGCTCTACCCATCAGTCACAGCTGTGTCTGAAGAAAAGTTTTATACTACTGAATACACAGAAATAAACCCATTAAACCTAGAAAGGATCCCAGTGGTAAAAATATTTCATTTATTTGGGAGATTTCTCTTTGTATTTAGAAAAGATCTGCTGTGTTTATATATCTAATTTTGAAAAGAATGTGACACAAAGATAGTGAAGATATTTATATATTAAAAAGCCCAAACAAATCAATCACATGTTATTGTTACTACATTAAGTTAGTAGATCAACATTTCCATATTTAATTTAATGAATGAGAATTGAAACTTTTAGTCAAATGGTTTTTCAGTAAATTAGTTATTAACTTTATTTCTTATAGAGCTTTTATAAAAAGTGTTTTAGACTAGATATATAGTAAAACCTAATTTTTTAAACCAAATTGGTGGTGGAACATGTCAATATGAAAGCAGAGAGAAATTTTTTTTTAAAATATGCAAAGTGAACTCTTTTTACTTAAGTATAAATTATTATAAAGATACCAGTTAATACGTAAATGATGTAATTAAAATCATTAAGATGGCATTCACATACTGTGTGAAACATTCCCAGTGACAGTAACAGAACAACCATAGCTCTAAAATAAAGTGAATTCATTCTCATCAGTTCTCCTCACATATGAAAACTGAACAGAAATAATTATGAGTATATATGACATGATTCTAAGTTGTCACTATCTACTATATCAAACCTAGAAATAACCAACCAACCACATAATGGGGTATGCTTAGACCTTAGTTCTACTGAATTGTAAAAGGAAACTTAATTTCTACACACTACACAGAGAATGTGAAGCTGCAAAAAATAACTTCTCAACATTCCAAATACAGCTTTAACCGTGTTGTTTTGTCTTTTAACACAACACCATTTTTCTGTAGTATAAATTGCTCTTGTTGGTGGTTTAAGTAAAATGAAAATTTTTATCTTTTACTCTTTTTTTTATCCAAGTGTTTTATTTCTTACTCCAGATAATTATGATTCACTTAGAACGCTGAAGCTCTCAAATTACTACACTTTTTCAAGACTGCCCCACTGAAAATATTTCTCCTTATTTTCCTACCTTTACATCAAAAGAGCTTGGCTTTCACTTGAATTGTCAGTACTGGATAATTTTCAGAGTTCAGCAGCTAGGAGACAACTCATCTTTCCTATTGCCCTCATTAGTTTGATAGGGTTCTCACTTCCTGTTTCTTTACACTGGTAATCAGAACTTCCTCAGTGGCCCCTAATTTCCTTAATGAAAAGAAAGAAGCAAACAAACACGAGCCCCTTTCAGCAACCGCCTCTCAGCCATAGCAGAGAATATAGCTCAGCCGTGTGTGTTACAAGCTGCATCCCAAACGATTTGGACACAAACCGCAGCACGTCTGAAATGGGAGTATTATTGAACAGAATCAGCTGGAAAATGCTTTCCTGCTTTCAACAAAGAAGCGTTTCACCATGTCTTAATACACGTTTGCAAATGACATTGTTTCAACTGCAAACTCCTTTACATGACCCGTCCGACTTGAGAAGAGCACAAAAAGCAGTTTGACATCAAATTAGCTAAATTCCCCGGAGAGCCGCATTGCCCGCTGCCCATACACATTATGGTTCCTCCCCCCAGGAGCCAGGACTCTACATTAAGGAGCTGTTCCTCTGGTAGTTCACCTTGTTATCTTTCAAATAGTGGGAATAAGCCAGGCACCTCAAGGTAGCTGGAAGATATTTTTTCCATGCCTTTTTTGTCATGTTTACTAAGATTTTTGGCCGGCTAGTAACATATTGCACATTTATTTCAAACAAGAGTTAAAATAGTGCCCATACCTTGGAAGGATCTAATCCAGCCAGCAAAGTAAGCAGCAGGAGGTTGAGAAGGTTGGACGTCGCCTGCATTCTGATCTGGGTTTTTGCCCCTCTTTACTCTCCTTTATGCCACTCTCACTGCAGAGACCTTTCTCTTGTCAGTTGCACTTTCTGCCTGCCAGTCAGAGCAGAGTGGAGGCTGAGGTGGTGGCAGCAGCATTAACTGAAACGGTAGCAGTAGCGGCGGCGGCAGCAGTAGCCGCCCTGGGGGGCGATCATTCCGCAGGCATTCTCAGAGCTGGGAGTCTGGGAGCTGAAGAGAGGGTGGGTTGGGCTGCAGTGGGCGCTGACCGAGGTGCTGAAGCTGCTCCAACCAGCGCACCTAATATTGCACTTACTTCCCCTCTGCTTTTAAGCCAGCCCACCTCAAAAGTTTTGACCCAAGAAAAAGAGAAAGGGGTAACTGCTGGGAAAGGTGTAGAGACCTGGACAACGGATATGACATCACTACAGCTCTTGGGGGGGGGGGCTTAGGGGAGGATATTTTGCAGGGATTTTGTTACCCAAACAAGGAATCGACCCTCTTGTCCAGTTCAGCATTTACTGGCAATTTGAACTGCTGAGAAGTAAAGACTCAGCTAGATACAAGATAATTAAACAGTTCCTTGAGAGCTGGAACCTTCTGCTGTCATTGACAGAGGACTTGTTTAGTGCTTCAAAGTTTCCAGTGCAGACTGTCAGTGTATATTTGCTACCTAAGGTACACAATATTGAGCTACTGTTTGGGCATGTGTGCACTGTATTTTTAAGCAATCTATTAAAATAGACTATTTTGTCAGCTATGAATCTATTTATCTACATAAGACCTTTGAGGACCTCAAGGTACAGTACTCAAATAACTAACCAAAAATCAAACGTATTGCTATCAAGTAAATCATAGGGACTGTCTTGTAGAGGTTCTGATGTTGTAATCTTTATGAAAGGGGACTGCTATATCTTTCTCCCACTGAATGTCTGCTGGATTTCAACCAATTATATTTAACTGCTTAATCACTTAATTATATTTAAGTGCTTAATCACTGTACCACCAAAACTCCTTAAATAAATAGGATTTCTTTATTTACTTTAGTTATTACAGAATATGCAATTAGAGCACCTCACAAAGTATGTGCACATACATTCAATGCGTGCACACACCCACATACATACTCACATAAGGAAGTTCCTAAGTTGGTCTGGAGAAAAGTGATTATTTCCAAGTTTCCAAATGCTTCTATTTTCTAGAGCTCAAGCAAAATAACAGAATAGCTCCCTCATTAGAATAATTTGGGTGTACTGCAATGACTTCATCTCCATGAAACTGAGAAAGCAAGGATTCTTTTTAAGATAAAATAGGGGCAGGAGAGCAGTTGGCAACCACTAAGGAATCTTCCCTCTTATTCAATTATGAGTTCATATTCCCCTGAGTTATGTTAATTATTTATGTGAATTGGTATTTCTGAAGAATTAAAAGAATCTGCACAGGAACTGCATACTTTGACTTTTTTATACTTCTAAATGAAAAAAATATAAATTGATAAATCAGACATCTTTTGGTATAAATTTCAAGTAGAAAATATTCAGCAAACTTTCATTCTATAGGATTAAAATACTTTTAAAGATTATAATTCCCAATCATTTGCATATTGTCTAGTGAGCTGTGCTGCTAGCTCAAAGGTTTTGAGTCTCTGTTGATTTAAATAGAGAAACAGGTCTTTGAGGAAAAGATGGGCAATCTCCCTTGTTGCCTTTTACAGCCTAGGAAATTCACAGAGGGTGGGAATGGGCTGGAAAAAAACTGGATAACTGTGAGAATGAATGAAACGAACCATGTTTTTATCCTGGTATCATAAATAAGTGTATTTGTGTCAGAGTCCATATTAATTTTTAAATAAAACATAAATAATGGGATATAAAAATAAATATGGAAGTTTCCTGTTGAATAGATAAATCAAGCATAGGAAAAATATTAAATAATAACCAAAAGAAAGTTGCATTACTGAAAAGTGTAATTTATTTCATTATAATAACAAAATAAAAATATAATTTCTAAAATCCTTATTATTTTCTATCAGTAACAGACAGCAATTTTTTTAAAAGTAATACACACAACTGTGGATTTATGTCAGGCATTTTTTTGGTAACTACCTAGAGAATATTTATAGTTAAACATTTTTTCTTTAAAATGTGTTTCTTAAAGCATCTCTCTCTCTCTCTCTCTCCTTGTTTGTATGTGTGTTTCTTAAATAAGATCAACAGAGTAAATTTTTAAGGAATCCATATAAAATAATTGAAAATTACGTTCTTCATCTACTTTTTAAACCTTTCCTGTGACTGACTGCACAATTAGAAAATAAATTTGCAGCACTTTATATTTGTATGAATATAGTCATTTGTTTTATCCTCTAATTTCTGAATCGGGAGCTCGAATGACCTAATGACAAGCGGCTCCACTGCAATGTCAAAGGCACATGGTTCGAAAATACTAGATGCTCCACAGGAAAAGGATGGACACTATCCTTCTATGGGAATAATTACCTGCGTCTGAAAACTTGCCTGAAGTTCAACTATAGGTCGGTTCCAACTCAGTGGTATACAAAACAATAATAACAATCAGTTAATATGCATATTTTTATAAGTTCTTTTTAGCACATGTATTTCTCTTTTATTAAAAAATATAATCTTTCTTCATATTTATTTCTCCTTTTCTAAGGTCTTACTCAATATTATTTACAAAGTCTTTTCAGGGTCAAAATGCTACTCATATGCTTTGCTCTCATACTTCTTACTTT